CACTCTTTCCAATGTACACAATCTACCGGGGACTTATGTCATAATGACCACGTTTTTTCCCTAAATAATTGCGGAATGGGGGCACGTGATCATCTCTCTATGCATTACACGTAACATTATTTTCCCTTTTATGTGAGTAGTTGCGTGTGCCATAATAAACTTTGGGGCTTATCAGTTATGACTCTTTAATGGGGTAGATCAGTTTTTTACGAGTGGGATTTCTTTAATCTGTATTTTACTCGTTTGTGGGGACTACCCAGAGTTTTCAACCTGCAAAATGTTTATAGCTTTTCTTACGGGAAAACCTACCCCAAGTCAAGAATATTCTTTCTCTCTCCATATAAAATATTTGAAACTTGATTCCATAAATTTTGCGGAATTTCTGGATTTTTTTTATAAAAAAATTATAAACTAAATGGGAGACAAATCTTGCTGTGGTCCCGGTTTTGGGATTTAAATCCCCTCTCCCACGGGGATATGTGATTTTTCTAAATTAAATTTGTTTCTAGAGTATAATTAAATGAATAGATTCATTTATCTTTCTCTAATGCAATGCGCAATTTGCTTTTTGCTTGTTCCTCTGCTTTATGATCAGATAAAGAAAATGGATGGTCATAGCTTGTCTGTTTGGTGAGCCCTGAAAAGATTCTATGCATGTCAACTAGTTTCTTTCATTTTCTCCCCTCTCCTTTTTCCCTTTTTTTAAATTTTTTTTACGTGATAAAAAACAACATAGAACGATGGAAACAAAAGCTGAATCCTCCAGAGCCATGCTCAAACTACCCCTGATTTAATTTTTTCCTTTAGGTCGGTGAGACACGAAAATAGTTCATATCTTTGCATGAAGAGTCCCTTTACTAGGTGCTTTTGTTTTCTTGTCACTGTTTGTACGTCTCACTCTCTCACATGAAAACATGACTTTTTTAAACTAACTTTTGACATGCATATGCCTGTGTCGTTGACATCTCGTATTTTCTTCTTCCTTCCCTTAGAGATTATCGACGCTGTCTCTTAGATGTCTCGCAACAGATGGCAACTTCAAAAGCAAAAGACAGTTGTTGTCTTGCAAACCAACAAAACTTCTGATTCGTCGTTTCAACTAACACTCTTAGCGCCACTAAAATAATCATATAGATAAGACTTTTTTTTATTAAAAAAGAAAATAATTAAAATTTGTTGTTAATTTTAACATCATTCATTCTTGATGTTGTGGTGGTGATAGATTCTACGCATCAGAAGTGTTGTTAGCACTGGAATACCTGCACATGTTGGGGATAATCTACCGCGACCTGAAGCCGGAAAACGTGTTAATCAGATCCGACGGGCACATCATGCTGACGGACTTCGACCTGTCTTTAAAATGCGACGATTCGACATCAAGGGCCCAGATCATCTCGGAGGAAGCCCCGTCACCGAGCGTGGCACGTGGGAACGAGTGGCACGTGGAGGCAAACCGCGGGAGTTCGTCGTCGTGCATAATCCCAAGCTGCATAGTCCCGACGGCGTCGTGCTTCCAGCCAAAACGCAAGCGCAAGAAGAAGCAAAGGCTGCGTAGTGGGCCTGCCTTCGTGGCGGAGCCGATGAACGTGCGGTCGATGTCGTTCGTGGGGACCCACGAGTACCTGGCGCCGGAGATCGTGTCCGGGGAGGGCCACGGCAGCGGCGTGGACTGGTGGACGCTGGGGATATTCATGTTCGAACTGTTCTACGGCGTGACACCCTTCAAGGGCATGGACCACGAGCTGACCCTGGCCAACGTGGTGGCTCGAGCCCTGGAGTTTCCGAAGGAACCCGCCGCTTCGGCCTCCATGAAGGACCTCATATCGCAGTTGCTCGTTAAGGACCCCTCCAAGAGACTCGGCTCCCTCATGGGGGCTTCTGCCATCAAACAACACTCCTTTTTTAATGGCGTCAATTGGGCGTTGCTCAGGTGTGCAACTCCACCCTTTGTTCCACCCCCTCTTTCCAAAGATCTCTATCATCATGACCATCAAACTTGTCAAGACATTTTCATCGATTATTATTGATTAATGGGACTTTTTTATTCACACACTCAACCCACATATCACATATATATAATCCTACTATCATCAATTCTTTCTTCTAAAATTTTAATGTACGTCTTGTATAAATGCTCGTTCCAATTCCAACGTCAAAATATTAATTAATAATTCATTGTCTATCACTCCCCTTATTATAAACATTTTATTTTCTAATTAAGATTTATTAAAAAAATTAACCCTTCAAGATATTGTCATATTGGTTTCTAAAATTAAGAAATTAAGAAATTGTAAACTGAAAAGTAGTCACTTATATTTTTTTTTTGACAAAAATTAGTCATCGGTGAAATTAAGTAATGAAGTTTAAACATTATTTGATATTTTAAAAATCAAATTTATAATTACTTAATTTCATTTCATGGTTTAATATGAATGTTTTCAAAATTTGGAGATCAAAGTGAATATTTATTTATTTTATTAAAAACTGCGAATTTAAAAAAAAAATCATTAAATATTAAATAACATGCGGAAAAACACACCATTTTATAATTTTGGGTAAATTTTGTATTCAAAAAAGTGTAGTCTTACTTACACTCATCCCTTTTGTTACATTTGAAAAACGAATACAAAATGTAGTCAACCGCGATAATAAGTGTCGAGTGTTGAAAAGTAATTTGGGAAGTGGTTAATATTCTATAGTAACTGCACGTGATATAAGAAGGTAAAAATAAAAAAAGGTTAAATTATCACATTGATTCCTAAAAGTGTAATGCGTTATAATTAATATATGAAAGATGATAAATTAAAAAAATCTTAAAAGTTATTTTTATTATTTAAATTGACGTGTGCAAATAACTTTTGGTTAACTTGACATGTTAAGTATCATACTAATATGGATTATTTATTTAATATAAAATGATTTATCACATCATAATGATCAATTTGAAGTATTTTTTAACATTATTTTTTAAAAACAATTGTTAGGGAATGAATTGATATATTAGAAAAAATGATCAATACATTTGAGATAAATTTTATGGGGTTTCCTCTCGGAAAGTGCGTGGACCATTTTGAACAAGGTAAATAAATTGCTTCATTATCATATATTATTATTATTATTAAATAATTGGAATAAATGTCTAGGTGATGCACTAGTCAAGAATATAATAAAATTATTTAAGGTCGAATCAAATTTAGTCAGCAGACTTCTAAATTGTTGAACTTGAATCTTGATAGTGAACCACAAACTAATCCAATTTTGTTCATTCAATGATACCCTCCAACTCAAGGATGGGTCAAGCATAACTGATGTTGTGATAAAATCCTTTAACCAGTTAGCCAGCAGTGGTTTGATTAGGCAATAAGGTTTAGGTTTCGTGATGGGATGTGTAAAAGGCCTCAATTCTTGTCATGTGATACAATAAACAAGCAAGACAATGTCTTAATTGTAAGCTTGTATGTTAGTGATCTTCTTTTTCGTGAAAAATATGCTTTAATGTTTGCATGGTTAAAAACTCCATGAAGTATGAGTTTGATATCACTATTATTGATTAAATGAATATTTTCTTGGTTTTGAGTCAAGCAAGAATAAGGTGAATTTTTTATTAGTTAGAAGAAATGTGTCTATGAGGTAATATTTTAGAATGAATCAATGTAATTTTGTTCAAACTCCAATTATGCCTAGTTTCAAGCCTTTAATGGATGAAGAAGGAATCAAGGTTGACAAGACTTATTTTAAACAAATTGTGGGAAGTCTCACAGCAATACGTAGAGCTTTCAAAACGGGCCAGTCCGGCCCGTTTGACCCGGCCCACCTCAACCCACTTTTTAAGTGGGTCAACCCGGCCCGGCCCACCAAATATATTATGCAAATTTTTCTAACCCGGCCCGGCCCACCACGGGTTGGTGGGCTAAACGGACCGCCCACCAATCGACCTAATTTAAAATAAATTTCAATATAAAATAATATTTAATCTAAAATAGAAATTATTAAACTAAGTATCATGAATACAACATTAAAATTAAATTAATAAGTGTGCAACTTTAAAAAATTAAAACAAAAAATAAAAAATATTTCATGAGAGTGATTATTAAACAATATTAAACTTTATTAGAGGTTTGAATAGATAAATTTCATATTGTTTAACATTAATTTTATCTTTATCTATAAAAAAATGATATCTTATTAAAATAATGATAAAATAATAATAAATAGTTAAGTGAGTTGTTAGTGGGTTAAGGAGTTGGGTTGGTAAGTGGGTCAGGTGGGCCGCTCGGCCCACCACGGGTTCAACCTCGGGTGAGCCGGGTCAAAAGTGGGTTGGGTCACATTTTTTTACCCATCATAATTTTTTTTTTCATTTTTTTGGCCCGGCCCGGCCCGCTTTCAAGGTGGGCCGGGTTGACCCATGGGCTGGAGCCCACTTTGACAGCTCTAGCCATACGTGATGTTTGTCGTAAGTATCTTAAGTGGGTATATGGAGAATCATGGCAACTTTCGCTTACAATTAGCAAAAAGGGTGTTGAGGTATTTGAAAGGAATATATGAGTATGGAATTCATTATAAGAAATTGATAAGTGACGAACTCGTTACCTACACTTAAGTGATTATGTTGGAGATTTTGATGATAAAAAAAAAATCATAGGACATGTTTTTATTCTAAGTTAAGGAGTTGTATTATGACCATCTAAAAAACAACCGTGATAAGTTTGTTCACTATTAAGGCATAATTTGTTATTGTAACATCATGTGCGTATCAGATTATTTAGTTGAAAATAGTATTGAAAACACATAATCAAACTCAAGATGAGACAATTACCATCCATTGTGATAGTAGTTTTATGATTAAACTTAAAAAAAATAAACAATGCATAGTCACAATAAGCATATTTATGTTAATTTTCATTTTCTATGAGAATTCACTCAGGACGGTACAATAAAATTGGTTCATTGTCATTCTTTGGAACAATTAACCAATGACAAAACTAGTTAAGTTCAATGATTTATTGAAGTTACAAAACTTGTTAGGTGTTTGTGTTCATACAAGCTAAATGCTTTAAACATCTAGTTTTAAGGAAGGAGATGTTAGGATTTTAGTCAAATCTGTGAAGATTTAGTTTGTATAAGTTGATATTTTTAAACACATAATTATATTTTAGATAAATAATTTGTATCATGATATAAAATTATTTTTAATTATTAATAATTAATTTTAAATTTATTTAAATTTAATCCATACATATTATAAAAGATATATACTATGAGTAATTGTTTTTGTCATTTTTTTAAATTTATCATCATATTTCTTATTTGTTTAAAAAAAATGAAATAATCGTTATATTATATAAGTAACTACCCATAATCATCCATTAATTTTATCTTTCTTCTCTTTTCAATTTATTTGTTTATAGTTTTTAAAATTTAACAACCTCTTTTCTCTACTAGTTCATAACTAATTTTGATAAATAAAAAATTAAATTACATAAAAAATTAGAATAATTTATAAAAAATGATGAAAAATAATCTTAAAAAACACTATCGTGAAAGATAAATATTTGTATTTAATATATAGAAGTTAATTTATAATAAATTACACTTACAAATAAATATTATATTTAATTTTTTTTAATAAATACATGTTTTCAAATATATAAATTTTAAGTTAGATCTATAATAAATAACTTATTTCATGGTAAAAAATTATTTTTACTTATTGATTATTTATTTTAAAATTATTAAATTATATAAGAAGTTAAAAGAATTTATAAGATATATCTTGTCAAATTTATTTTAAAAAACATTAAAATTTAATTAATAAATAAAAATTAAATTAAATTAAAAATTAAAAGAATTATAAAAATATTTTCGTTTAAAAAAATCCTTATAAATACTGTTCTACAAGATAAAAATTTATCTTTAACATATAAAAGTTAATAAATATAAAATTGAATTAAATAAGAAATTATCCCATAAAGAAAACAGTGCTTAGAAATGCTTCAAAAATAAACTTCTCATTTAATATATTGAGGTCGGTAATTTTAATATAATGATTTGACATTTATAGATGAGATCATATTTTGAATTCAGTTATGAGAATCAATGGATCGTTTTTCAAACCGAATCTATACATATATGAATGAGTTTGCGTTAGTTTTTCTTTCATGATTCTTTATCGTTGACACCGTCGTCTTTCCTTGAATTCTTTCATCAACCGTAAAGGCAAAACCTTTTCCAACTCTAACAGTATCTGCCATTAAGTTTCTTCTATAAGAATACTGACCATTATACTGTATTCTTTTTTGAACCCTCGCAGAAAGTCTCATATTCATGGAGTGACTCTGTTAAAACCTGGGTTCATAATTCAAGAAGACAAAAGAAAAAGCAATTCAAAGATTTATCAGTTTCAAATTTTCCACGTGTTATCTTTTGATTGGTTGAATCTAAATCTGACGTGTTAGGTTTGTGTGTACGGAATTTTTTTTAAAATTTGATATCTTAAGTTTGGACCGGGTTCGGTTCTTGGTCCAGCCAAATTTTATTTACTCGGCCGGGAAATAAGCGCGGGAAAAAGCACATTCCAGTGTCTTCATTCCGCCCCCAATCTTCTACTACTCATAGAGGTTCAGAGTGTTTTCCCAAACGCTCATAACTTTCATTCAAAAGCGTCAACGCGAAAACCTTCGATCTCGTTGGCGACGATGAGCGGCGAAGGTCGGAGACGTGACCGGAGAGACACCAGGGCGTCGAAGAAGCGGAAGCTGAACCGCAGCCCCCCGGGAG